ATATTGCAATGTGTAGTAAGAAATGCTAACTGCTTTAATGCACTCTACGACCGTCATATTTTAATTCTTTAAACTTGCAGTATACCTCGTAAAGCCACAGCATTCAACGTACAGCGAATCAACCATCACAGCGAAAAATGAACTAGTTAGAGCCGACGCTGTATCTATATGCTTTAAAGCCCAGCGGTCATAGTGGGCATTATACGTTAAGAACGCATGACTGTACGCCTGTCTAGACGTTGCTATCTAATGCCCATCGCAATATATACATGCTTAAAGACAGAGTTTCTTCCTTTTAACTTTTAATAATACTCTGATCTTTCACGAAGATCGAATGACCCGTTTTTCCCTGCTTTTCATCTCGTCTTATATCCAACTTGAACATTATTCACGTTTCACTTAATTCAACAATTTGGACATTCTTACAGAAAGAATTTTCCAATCAGTTTAATATAATTCGTCATTAAAAGGTGTAGCGAAGCAAGCGAAACAGCATGGGTATTTATAACTGACACCTTCTATTCAGTCACAGTGTTTTACTTTTAAGTTGAACCGCCACCACATTTCCTGAATAATATTATTTGTTGTTGCTTCAGTAGAAAACGCTTTGTTTTGGGGCTTTTGCTTGATTGAATACAAACTGTTTTTTCAGAAAAACAAACAAACAAACAATTCCAATAGTGATTTGTTTCTCTTTCTGGCACATAACAATAGTGAACGATCGTTATTATGTAATGCCATCGTGTTATCTTTTTGATGAACAATTGGGCAGGCTGTAAACCGACAGGCCGTGACGTGTAATACAAATTCAATTAAAAACCTGTAGAATTAGATTCCGTTTTATTTTTCTATCCTCCCGGATATTTGGCAGCAGCGGCCCAGTTCCAGTCGACTCGTAATAAATGCCATAACTACGTTTTTATCATATTATTCTACTGTATTATTTTTTTCGCTTCACCCCTCTTACTTTTGATCACGTGATCTGGTCATTGACACCATATCAAAACCTCTAAAATGCGTTCATTCAATTCAATACAAATTAGGTTATTTTTACGAGGTGATACACTCAATCAAACCTTCCCTCATCAAAAACTTTATCACCTATATTATATTGCATTTGCCTTCAAATGCGACCTGCGACCAGATACCCTTCTTGAGACCAACTGACTTGGAAGTACGTACTGTGCGGTGCTGCAGTCTTTGTAGACTAATATTTACTATTACAAATAAATATGTATGCAATGATATAAATATTCAAGCGATATTCAACTGTGCGCCATTGCATAACGCTCCTCTAAGTACTGCAATATTATCTTACACTTTGAACATAAACATTTAGAGTTAGGGGTTGAACACAGTAGCTCTATGCTCGGCTTGATTCATAGTCCGAAATAAGATCTTGAAATTTGTTAGTTTATCATCGCGTGCTCCAACGTTGAAGACTCCATCATGTACATGGAGACGGGGCGAGGTTACCGCGTCGTATAACACACAATGACATACTTGTTTAACATTATGCAACATTATGTAGCTATAATGATTGGAGCTAAGTAGACACTCGTGAATAGGAAATGAGCATATCGTAAAACAGTCAAAGGAGGAACACGTGATGATATTTCAAGTTGTCAGGGCATTCACATCACTGCACCGTGGCATCATGACATGTGGTAATATTACTTTACGTTCATAATGTTTACGTGTCTTGGCATCTAAGGAAACAAGACCAATCACTTGTCACCCACTGCGACAGTGTTAATGCTGCTTTCTTGATTTGGGAGTGTGGGAGGGGCATACTTCTAAAACTACATGTCTCGGGCAAAATGCGGATCGAAACAGTGTTTATAAAATCTAGCAAGGCGTTTGTCAGTTTTACATGATTTGTGTAGTTTGTTCGTGATATCGGGTCCTAAAAACAAAAGGAACTTTAACCTACTGGCTGGTGGCTAGATGGAGTTGCGAGGGCAGAGGGTAGAGGGCGTATTCGAAACACTCATCTTACTGTGTGGATAATATCACACAGACATACATTGTTTTAAATTTGTTGCTAGCTTACAGGACCATGGCAACCACGTCCGTACCTTGTCGAGCAATCCACGGGATCCAAGGCTCAAAACGCGGCACTGTGCAAACCACTTACGACACAGGAAACATGAGGACAAGCGGAAATCATAGAGGTCATCGTGGTCAACCCGTAAATCACGTATATCCTATTTTAACGGTAATCGGTTCATTCAAGCTAAAATGTATAGCTGTTAATCACATAAAATAAATTCACTGAATATTCTGCCTCGATCTAAATTCGTAGGGTAGTTGATTGGCGTAAACTCTGAAGTTGGGGATATCTGTCTACATGCATATACTAGCAAATCAGATGAAGAAAACACGTATAGGAAAAGTTGAAAAGAACGATACCCGCCGAGACCCATGTCTACAGGGACCAAGACAACGGATGATGAGAGCTATTGAAAATTCCCCCGAACAACGTAAACTCAGTTGCTTGACTGCGATAAATATGTAATTTCTATATATAATTCACGTCAAAATAAAGTGCATATATTCTATTCTAATTTGTTTCTGAGATACAGTAAAAACTGCCATTATTAATATTGAGGGTTCTTTAGAATATCATATATAATTATAACGACTATTAAGAACTCCCTTGAAAGTTAAACTATTAGATATCACGTGATTTCACAATCTTTTTGTAATTATTGTAGTCAAACGATATATGATTGCTATCGTTAGAAAACTCGGAGCAACAATAGTGTGACTTATTTGGCAAATGAATGACGGGAAATCGCATGGCATTATGGGATATCTCGATTTACATTGATCTCCATGGTAACATGTTCATCGTCGTTGTGATAGTATCTCTCGGACGCATCATAGTGGAAATATTGGAAAATGTGAATCATCTCAATTCCTCTGACGCAAGATAAGTTGCAGCAGATAGTACCGTCCATGCTGAGTTGAGAAGTGTTACTCTGTGGGGCTCATGTCACGATTATTGACAAGTCCGTCATCCACTCACGTGTCCAACACCAAGAAGTCGTTGATATATCCGGTTTGAACAAGGCCGTATGAGTTATGAAATGATTGATGAGTCACAGTGACATTGTTACAAATGTATACATTCATTCTTACTATTTTCAACCAGTTAAAACACATCATCTCGAAAAAAAAACTAATATATGCATGTTACACGATTGAAAATGAGATCGGAGCAGATTTCGCCATTACAAACAACAAATCGTTAGACACTGAGTGCCTGACTTTGTATAAAACCAAGCAATTTATTTTATTTGTTTTCAAATTGTCATGATTAATCTACGTAATATTACAAGCAGTTGGATTGTTAAGTGTGTGAAGATGCATTCAAAAAATAGTCCCCAATGTGCTACATGAGTCACTTCAATCGATAAATTTCCACGTTATGGTTGGTTTGTTTACAGATGGCTAAGGCATGAAATTAATCCGCAGTATGCTGTGCAAAGTAACATTGTTCGATTTCATCCCTTTTCATCGACATGGTTAAATACAATGTGTATATTATAACACAAATATAGTAAAACTATTACGGATCCGTTACCAGGGTTGGTTGATTGTTAGATCAGATCCATGGTGTTGACGATGCGGTCACAAAATAGGGCGATTACTGCTACCAATTGTCAATTTTTATATCCATACAAACAAAAAGAGACCCCCTAACGTGTCGTTAATTTCATGGTCACAATGAATGCAAAACTAGTCAAAATACAAAAATAGAATGTGAAGACGGGAACACGTATTTTTCTAGTTTAGATTGATTGTTTCTGTTGAAACAGCTTTTTTTTCGCACCACCAGCCCCGTCACGTGGTTTAAAAAACAACTTTCTAAACCTATCAGTGAAGTATCCGCCTCGTAAAATGAGAAAATTGGCGAATGTTAAGAAATAAATAGGGACCAAGATCAGAATAAAACACCAAGTAGGTCCAATCTTTTCTCCCAAAAGAGAATCATTAAATCAGTCAAAGAGTGGGAAATTGTCGTAAATATTTGTGTAGTTAGCAACAGGAGCAACTTGCTCGTTGAATTGCGGTCGTCGACATGAATAGTAACTATTCAATGTTGAACCCCACACAATCAGTAAAATCATGTACTGACAGCTTATACAATCTTAATTAGGTTCACGGACTATGTTTACATTAATATTAAATCTATCACGACAAGGTTGTAGAGTTGAGAGAGAGGGGGAATCCTGGTAAATTACGGTATTGTGGAATATAGTGACCCTTTACCATTGCAAACTGTGTACACATGTTTGTAATACGTGACGTCAGTAACACTAATTTCAAATCACATCATTTACGTAAATTTATACAAACATTGGCAATTAAATTAAAATCATATCATATCATATCATATCATATCATATCATATCATCTCGGTGCACACACAGTGTGAGTGAATGTATTCTATCGATGGATGCATAGTAGTACGTCAACTGTACAAAATAAATGCATCTAGTCCTACTCTCCCTGGAAGGTTTTTCAAATAAGGAGAGTGGACATTAGTATCTATATTTGGTTATAAATGGTTCTTTCCTATCGTCTTCGTCTCAGCATTGCTTGCTGGCTTCAAACGCAGTGCATTGTGGGCGACTGCCTCGGAAGACTAGGAGTTACTAAAGTGACGTTTACCCCCAATAGTTTCTATGTTTTAAAACCAAGATCTTGAGATGTGTATTCTTTATATAATATACTAGTTATAATCCATGTGTTTTACAAAGTGATTTGTAAGAGTAAAAAATTGCGCTTATAAATCCTGGGATTACAAATATTTGCTCAATTCTATAAAAAAACACTATATGGTTTTTTAGATAAGAAACACGTCAACGCATTCATGACGTTACGATGGCAGATAAATGTATATGTACTCTGTGTCATCGAACAGTAGCCTTCCGGTAGTATTCACCTCATTCGGGTCAAGCACCTCACATCCGGAGCAGTTCTGGCGTGTTTCATCTGGCCGTCAATGATTTTCGCGAAGCATTGGAACTGCGCGATTTGAAGTTTGATCTGAAGACGGGCTTTTTATTTTTGCGCTGACACCGACAAGTCAGTATGCGTTGAAAGCATTTACGAAAGTTCACGTTGCATAAAGCATAACAGAAAGGGTTGACTGTGCTATTTAAGTAACATAACCAATACGCCACATTCCACAGTGTAGCGTTGAGTTCGACGTATATCCCAACTATAACTAATATACTATATAAACTCCATGTACCTATGAAAGCAAATAGAATAGCGGTCAGTGTTCTTGCCGCTTTCTTTTCCCGTACTAATGCCAGTTTCTTCTTTTTTGCCACGTTTTCCCGGGCTTTGTGTGCAATTTTATTGACAACAGAAACAGTGTTCAAATTGACTGGACGACTTGAAGTAGATAAGCGATGCTTTGGACTGTCTTCGTTACTACACATGCTGGAAACGGAATTAAGGCGTGTGCGTTTATTGTTGTTTACAACCGCCGACTTGTAACCGTCACATACGACAGAATCGTTCGGAACACTACGTTTCGGAGTGCTATTAAATCTAGCGGTGCGTTTAGCACCACTCGTCGCTGAAATACGGCGGTGTTTCCCGTCACGGTCCCGCACAAATATGGTGGGAGTCCGTGGACAATCCTGTATAAGAGTTATTTTTGGTTGTGGCTCTTCCCCGTCAGATGAACCACTCTCGTTATTGTCTGGCAGTTTAATAAGTATGGTATATAAGGATGCAGCAAAAGAACTTTCGCTTTCTTTATGTTTATTACAATCGGCAAGAGGATCAGCTGAACCATTTCGACATGATCTTGACTTTGGCGAAACTAAGTGACTATTATGTGCGTTCAACGAAGACGATCTCGAATGCGCTGGTGACGCGTCACTGCTGTCCTCACATTCATACTCACCCCCTAATTCGCTAAATTTACAACAACCGCAACAAATAATTCTTCTAGCCATCGAAGGTTGTGGATGCGACTCATCAAAATCCTCGTCTCTAGGCGACCGTGTTAATGTTTCAATTTCATGTGCATCCACGGACACATTTTTTTTCACCTTTCTCTTCTTTTTGCCCCCGTCACCCCCTTGAAGGTTCACTAGTTCTCGTGAGCGTTTCTCAGTCTCTCTCCAAATTTTGAAGTACATAAATATCATTAGCGATACAGGAAAGTAAAACGCTATTACTATAGTTATAATGGTAATGGAAGGTTCTTCTAAAAACTGGATTTGACAAACATTTTCTGGTACTGTTCTCTCTCCTACAATGAATTGCCAACCGATGATAAACGGTGGCCACACGGCTATGGAAATAATCCAGGCTGCACATATCATAAGTATCGCCCTCTTGCCTGTCCTGTGGGCTCTGTACGTCAACGGCCGTGTGATAGAGAGATATCTGTCGAAACATATGACACACAGATTCATAACTGAAGCGTTGCTCGCACAGTAATCAATAGACAACCATATATCACAAATGACAGGTCCCAATGTCCACTCTCCTTGTACTAAGTACACGGTGAACAGCGGCATAGAAATAGATCCAATAATGACGTCAGCTGCCGCTAGGCTGAGAAGAAAATAATTGCTGACAATTTGTAGATTTTTGTCCATTCTAAATGACATCCAGACCATCACGTTGCCTCCGAATGTCAGTAATGCCAGCGTTGCCCCGATTATGCAGATAAACACGGATGCTACCACGTGTATGGGCTCCGGTTCAGGCAAAGTATCGTTGGTGACATTGCCGCTGTAATTCCCATCTACTGACAGATTTAAGTACTCGTACAGAAGACCCATGCTCGGTCGCTGTGGAGAAATAACACAAACGAATGGTTATGTTTGGCAGATCTGTGAAAAGTGAATTTACAATTGAGAGCATACATATTATATATATAGCAGGAGAGAGTGGGATGGATGAAGGAAGGACATCAGACAAACACGGACAACCCCCGGTGGACACCCACTCAATCACCATGCATTCTACAAGTTTACGCATGTGTCAGTTTAGGTTAAACACATCATACTGACATTTTTTCAACCACAATCAACGTTTACGTTTGTTGGTTGTCCGTTACAAAGACCTTTACACAAACTCACTGTGTGTGTCTATGTCAAAGGAACAACCACAAACGAACCCATGTTTGGGCAACAACAGTCGAGTGTCACGTTCAATTTAAAGTTCAAGTCTCATTAAGTAACTACTCCCGTAAATTGGCCCGTTGCCCCCCAATCGACGGCAAGATGGCCTCGCATCACGATCAAAGCGGTACATTCTGTGTCGTTGTGTTCACGGTGTTTTACCGGCAAGCCATGCTGGGTGGTCATACGTACTACTCATGGCGGATATACAGACGTGCCAAGTGTAGCAAAACTGTAAATATGACACCAATTATCCGCAATAATTAAATATATTAACATCCACCACGCTGTAATCGTAATTGTTTCCTTAAACGTCGGCATGAGGGCGTTGCCGGGGATTATTGCTGACAAACCGAAATATTACAAACAGCTAACTTATCAAATCCTAATAAAATACAATTACGGGAAATTAAATTTATCTTTCTCTTACTTTCGTTAGTTGCTATAATTACACAAAGCATGGCCATGTTACAGTGCAAAGCGTGTATTGACATTGTGGGGGCAACCTCCTCCTAGGATGTCCTTAGAAGTATCGAAGTAGGTGTTTGTAGATAGCTCATAATACATATTATAAACTATTCTGCATTTTGTTACGAACTAACTTGAAGTCTTTGCCTAAGAAATTGCTTTTGAAATTTAGAAGATTGATTGCATTTGTTCTATGGTAATCATATTAAACGTTTTCTTCGACCACGATAAGCATTATCAAATTATCATAATCTGATTTTCACGAGTTATTACCAGATACGATCACTGTTATCACGCCATTGGATTTTAATACGATTTGCTTAAGTCGGGCTCAGAAAAATTAGTTGAAATTGCACTGAGGTAGACCGAATGGTATATAGTTATGTTCTAATATGTAGGCGTCGTTCTTTTAACATAACCCACGCAGAGAGCAAGTTGACACTAACGCCACACGAGATAGACGATACATTTCTCAACGTTTAATTTACAGAGGTTTAAAAACAATAACAAATGTTTGTTAACTTAGTCGACACGTGGTTGCACGACAGAAGAAGAGTGGGGAGAACCTACAGTTACCGTGGACTACCTGCTGTTCTCGAAGGCATGGCACATCACTGTAAAAACGCTCCATGCATAGCAAAGAATTGATATAAATACACTAGTACTGATCAAATAGTATTTTGAATGAGTGTTTGGTCTCGTGTTTTGGCATGAATGAAGCTCTAGGCAATCTCACATACAACCAAACAACACTGAGTTATAACTGGGGAGGGCTTGACTGTAGGTTTTCTTTCAGTCGCCCTTTAGACGATACAGGTGAATGTCAACCAGAAGTCACCGCGCGTGTAATAAAACTGTTGTATTAAACTTGAGTTATGTCCGATGTTTCAATGCACCAGCCAAAAAAACAAAAACACATACCAACACACAGTCCATAGAGGGACTGTGACCAGCACTAATGTTGATCACGTACAAGAATCCAACCCTTCCTATCAATGATATTATGTAGACACATACTTAATTCTCCATCAAACCAATTCTGAGTTCACGCTTGTTAAACAGCTATGCTGATGGTGATGGATTGAATTCCATGCGAGCGGGACTGTCCAGTGCCACATTTATCAAGATCCACCAGCAATCCGACCGGACACCACGGCAAAGTACGCGTTCACCGTCACACATAATTTAACTACGTTGCTAAAAAATAAAATAGCCTCAAGCTTTGGGTTGTTTTTATAATCATGTGTACAGCCGCATGTATTATACGATGTACAGAAATACTGTGCGTTGCAATGCACGTGGTGCTGGTGGTACAATGATTAGTTAATTGCGTTTGAAATACTGTTTGTATTACACACAACCCCACCACGCCAGTGTTTACACATCTATAGAATTATGTGGACACGACCACAACACAGTCGTCAGATCTGTGCGATATTTAAAACATTTTACCCACAACTGAGGCGATTGTAAACTATTATGCAATGAGTAAACCGATATTTCGGGAAAGAAAACAGGTGTGATGCATGGGTTAAATCACAACATACGTGTTTTCGTTAATCGTATAGTGTAGTATGACGACTGGTCTTTCACCTCGACCCTACTATATACCTGTCACATGTGCATTAATATACAACCCATTTAACTAGAAATCTGGATTACATATAATGTCGACAACGAGACAACAACAACATATACACGAATATCCAGTAAAATACACAGCAATGGAATAATGCGAACACATCACATAAGTACATGTATTTCCGTAACCATCGGGTAAGGTTGTATTTAAAAAAAATGTGGCCATTGTTACAAAAGGTGCAACTTACGTGAAAATAAATATGTAATACCGCAAAATACAGGTGCCAGTGATCAAGGTGTCATCAGTATACAAGGTAATCGGGCATCTTTAATAGAGTCCACAACATATCAGCTATAAGACACTAAAACTGTACAAGCGTGTCGTCGTAACATCCAGCCTAGCGACCCACTGTGTGGCGTCGTATCAGCTACTAAGCTACAATGACATACTGTAAAGTCGACACACTCGTAATACCAGTCCGCACATGCGCAGAGCATCGCGCCACCAGAGGGTCTTCATAACCGGCATACAGATGACACTTGAGCATATATAATTCTTTTGAAATAAATTTAATTGCGTCCGACGAGAAATCAACCAATCACGATGTTGATGTCTGTCGACGTCCTGGTTGTAGGCGCAGATCTAGTTTGCTTTAAACCTATATATTCTTAAAATATTTAAATTCGTAATTATTAACGCAACACCAACTTTGGAAAATACAGCAGTAAGACCACTCTAAAAACTACAAAACAAAAATAAACTGAACAAAGCTAAAGCATCAACACGCACAGATACTTTTACAAAGTACACTAGCAATTAAACATATGAAAATACAACACATCTGTAATTCTAGCCCTAATTTGCTTTCTATTTCTAGATAATGTTCATTTTAGTATGACAACGAAGACGAATTTACTGTGTACTGACGTACCTCGTCATACCCTCAATTAGTGACATTTTTGTTCATACTTTGGACATGAAATAGCACGATGAAATGCAACTTAAGTTCTCTGCACTACATATGTCACACGTTTTATTTTCAACTAGCGCCTGTAATGGCCAATGTGCCGGCCCCGGTGTACCGGCTCCAAGTGTCTGACTCGTGTACCGGCCCAGGTTGCTGGCCAGACTCGATATTTAAAACCGCGATTTTCAAATCCAAATTTGTCCACGTAGTTCAATACCATCAATGTCTGTCATGCATTATTATTATTATAATTTTTTTTCTTCAAAGTTTCTGTATGTTCTTAATTTATTTTCCTGGTTGATTGTCTGTTGACATTGCAGATGTCTTCTGTGAAATAGTGAGCTGTGTTTCCTTAAAATCTACATTTGAAATTGATATTTTCACTATATAACAATTTCTCGGACTGTGTCTAAGCAATTGCGTTAAGGTAAGTTAACCCATACACGTGTTGACAAAATTAATATCGTTTTCGTCTGAAGCTTACGTCGCTTACTGCATCTAGTATTATATTACATATTGTATATTATATCAGTAATGTTACACATAGTTTCACACATTAAAAAACACACACTACAGCTGAAATCAAAAACTCACAAACAATGGGAGGTCTAAGTTACTGGTCGAGATTCATTCATGGATGCGACTCAGTGTTACCCTGGGTAAGGTTTACATTTGTGTTCGATCGGGCAGGGTTGACGTACATACATACACACACACAGGCAAGCGCACAAACATAAACAAGTATACATCTAACAAAGCAAACAACAATAAAAACAACAGGAAACGATATACTTAATTTTCATAATAGCCGCGAATAACCCCATTTATATTGGAGTTTCTGAAGGTTGCAAATGCTCGAAGTAATGGCGTAACGAGGCATTCGCAGTTGTTGACTGTTCATTTACTAAATGCTGAGTCTGCTTTTTGGCACACTGGCGACGGGAATAAAGCGTGAATAATGATTTCAATGCACACACACACACACACACACATACACAGTCAGTCCGGCACGGGGCACACTCAGTTCAGTACGTGGCACACTCAATTCAGTACGGGGCACACTCAATTCGGCACGGGGCACAATCAGTCCGTACCCTGGGCACACTCAGTCCGGCACGGGCCACAACCAGTCCGGCATCGGGCACACTCAGTCCGGTACGGGCACACTCAGTCCGGCACGGGCATACTCAGTCCGGTACGGGCACACTCATTCCGCCATGGGGCACACTCAGTCCGGCACGGGGAACACTCAGTCCGGCACGGGGCACACTCAGTCCGGCACGAGGCACACTCAGTTCGGCACGGGGCACACTCAGTACGGCAGTGGGCACACTCAATCCGGCACGGGGCACACTCAGTTCGGCACGGGGCACACTCAGTCCGGCACTGGGCACACTCAGTCCGGCACGAGGCACACTCAGTTCGGCACGGGGCACAATCAGTCCGGCACGGGCACACTCAGTCCGTACCCTGGGCACACTCAGTCCGGCACAGGGCACAAACAGTCCGGCATGGGGCACAATCAGTCCGGCACGGGCATACTCAGTCCTTCACGGGGTATACTCAGTCCGGCACGGGGCAAACTCAGTCCAGCACGGACACACTCATTCCAGCATGGGGCACACTCAGTCCGGCACGAGG